TGGTGTTTTTCTTCTCTCTCACCTAGACCCTGTGTACCTCTTTCTGGTACAGTTCTTGTGATTTTGGTTAAACCAGTATTCAGTGCTTAGGCTGTTATGAGTAAGGTTCTCAGCTAATTCATGGAGCAGGTGGCTACACCTCGTTTCTCTCACAGCTTTGTGTTTTTTCCTGGGATTAATTGTCTTTTTCATTTGCTTAGTTTGCTGTGTCCTCATCAATAATTCATCCCTGAAAGAACGAACCCCTCCGGTGTAGTCAGGTGACCTGTCAATCAGCGTTTCCCTCCTGGCAGCGCCGCATCTGGACGGGCTGGGCCCTGGGCCTGTTGTCCTGGGCTCCGTGCTCTCCTGTGCTCCGTGCTCTCCTGTGCTCGTTCACCTGCCTTATAGGGCGGGTCCTCCAGTAGCGCCTGTGGCTGACGGGTTGTCGGCCTGGCCACAACTTTAGGTTGGACCTGTTGTCACTTAGAACTCGAGGGGTTGTCCCCTTGCCCAGCCCCTCCGTCTGCACCCTCCGTCTGCAGCCCCTCCATCTGCACCCCTCCGTCCGCACCCCCTCAGTCCCTAGCCCCTCCGTCCCCAGCCCCTCAGTCTGCACCCCTCAGTCCCTCAGTCCCTAGCCCCTCCGTCCCCAGCCCCTCAGTCTGCACCCCTCAGTCTGCACCCTCCGTCCCCAGCCCCTCAGTCTGCACCCTCCGTCCCCAGCCCCTCCTCTCTCGTCCTGGCCTCGGCTTGGTCCCATCGCCTCTGTCCTGTCAGCCCCGCCACTCACCCAGGCGCTGCCGCCCAGCAGGCTTGTTTTGCTTCTCCCTGTCCCTGTGGGTTTATAACTTTTTAATTCCTTTCCTATTACTTTAGTGGGTTTCAGGAGGGAGTAGAGATCGTTGCTGGTGTTACGTTGCATATTTTAGTAGAAATCTTATGAAATCCTTTTTATGAAGATACTCTTAACAAAAACATTCCTGAATGTTGTTTCCAGAACAATTAACCAGATACAAAGTTCACCTTGTGTATTTGCTTCTGTGGTATTTTTCTTCTCATTGTTTCCAGATGGTCTATTTATTTAAAAAATTTACCCGTATCATTCCTCTTGGTTTGGGGACTTCATTCTGTTTCGGATGGAGGTCAGGGCGGAAGCTGATGTTTAGGCGCCTGCTCTTTGTCAGAGGATGTGGGGGCTTTAATGCGCCGGTGAGCGAGGAGGTAGGCACTTCCTCCTGTGGGGGCTGGGGTCCCGTCTCCACGGGGAAGGTCCCCCCACAGCGAGCAGCAGCGCAGCCTCGCGTGCGGCCTCTGCTGAGGCTCTTCACTCTCTTCACTCGCAGCTCCATCCACGGGGAACTGGCGTGAGAATTTCCAAGCATCAAAGTGGGGAGACAACAGTACAGTAACCCACCATGTACCTGACAGTTACCAACATTTTGCCAGTCTTTTGTTCCACATATTCCATTCTTAAACCTGTAAATGTACTTTAGTACACATTTTTCAAAACATTTTTATTGATTTCAGAGAGGAAGGGGGGGGGGGAGAGACATCGATGAGAGAGAGTCATGGGTTGGCTGCCTCCTGCACGCCCCCCACTGGGGATCGAACCCCAAACCCAGGCATGTGGGTTTCGAGTTCGATCAAACCGTGACCTCCTGGTTCATAGGTCGCCGCTCAACCACTGAGCCACATCGGCCAGACTGCATTTCTGGTGTTTGAAAGGGCTTAAAAAAACACACGTAATCTTAGTGCCTTGACTGTATTAGTAAAATTACAAATGACTCCTTACCATGGCATAAAACCCAGTCCGTATTCTTATTTCTACAGTGGGGTGTTGACGTACCCAAACATGAGCCCGTAGCATTTGGCTGCTACATCTTGCAAGGCTCACGTCGGCACCATCCCTCCTCCCCTTCCCCTGCCACCTGTGGGGGGGCACCGGCTCCTTGTCCCGGGTTTGTGGGGTTACTGCTCCGTGGGGGGCACCGGCTCCTTGTCCCGGGTTTGTGGGGTTACTGCTCCGTGGGGGGCACCGGCTCCTCCTGGGTTTGTGGGGTTGCTGCTCCGTGGGGGGCACCGGCTCCTCCTGGGTTTGTGGGGTTGCTGCTCCGTGGGGGGCACCGGCTCCTTGTCCGGAGTTTGTGGGGTTGCTGCTCCGTGTGGGGGGCACCGGCTCCTTGTCCTGGGTTTGTGGGGTTGCTGCTCCGTGGGGGGCACCGGCTCCTTGTCCTGGGTTTGTGGGGTTGCTGCTCCGTGGGGGGCACCGGCTCCTTGTCCCGGGTTTGTGGGGTTGCTGCTCCGTGGGGGGCACCGGCTCCTTGTCTGGAGTTTGTGGGGTTGCTGCCCCGTCGTTTCCCTTCACTGTCGCCCTGTCCCCGTGTTTCCTGCGGACGGGCCGTTAGAGCTGGTGTGGGATTCGTTCAGGTTTGCTTGTTGTTGCAAGAACGCTCTGCAGTGGGTGCTGTGCGTCCTGCTCCGTCCACGGCAGGTGATGTCCCGAGTCCCCAGCCGTGACGCCACGTGGGTGTGGGTGTCGTCACTGGCCCCGCCTTCAGAGGCGTCCACGTGTCACCTGCTGATTCAGCCCCGCTGACCACCGGGTCCCGTCCGGGACTTGGTCCGGTGCCTGGTGCGGTCTCTAACTGGACCCTTTCCTCTGCATTTAGTAGCTGTGGCTCTTCTACGACGATTTCATGACTGAAGTCAGGACGACGGGATTAAGGACCGACTCCCCGTTGTCAGTTTCGGGGTCATGAGCTGCTCCAGCCGCCGCCGCCGTGGTGGGTGCAGGGCGTTCGGTCATTCTGAGCTCAGGGCTGTTCACGGGCGCGACCTCGTTCAGTGAGTGACGGTCATTCCTCCTCCCGGTGCTCGCACTGACCCTCAGTTCCCCGTTCGTCTCCGGGACCTGTTTGCCCCCTGACGAGGTGGCCGGGCTCAGCCTGGGCGCCCCCGAAAGGGGAGGCTGCAGAGACCGCCGCTGGGTCCTTGGGGGTTACGAGGAGCGGACTGTCCTTGTTTCAGGCGTTTCACTGAGCGGCCAGGAGGCACATACTTGTAAGGAAGAGATAAATCCTAAGTTTGTAGCCAGGATTCCAACTGAAGTGTCAGTGATTTGTTTCTCTAACTCGGCCCCTCGGACTGTGCCCGTACCGCCCTTACACGACGCCTTGGATCCGGGCCTCAGGAACAGAAGTGCCTTTGCTTCCTCCTCATGATGCAGGTGGGGCAGTGGTTGTTCACATGGAAAACAGCACAGTAATTGGTCCGCAGTAACACAGGGAGAAGCTGTCGTTTGCCTACTCGCAACTGTAAACCTACTTTTGCCCCACCCTGTATATGTGACAGTTTGAAAATTACAGTGTCCGTGTCAATGCCCGCATCGCCCTCAGTGCGTGTCCTGCGGGAGGTGCGGCCACACCGTGCGGAATAGGTGCTAAGGTCTCCGTCTGTCCTTCCATTGTTCTTTCGGATGTTAATTAATAATATATTTAACATTATGTACTTGCTAGGTAGCAGTGTGTATTATACTGTGCTGGGAGCGTTGTTCACACTGCTTTCCTGGGAAGGATCTGTCCAGGCAATCGAACACGCCTCATCGGGGCACAGGTCTCATGCCTTTAAACCAGGGGTCCTCAAGGTTTTTAAACAGGGGGCCAGTTCACCATCCCTCAGGCCGTTGGAGGGTCGGACTATAGTTTAAAAATAAAACTATGAACAAATTCCTATGCACACTGCACAGATCTTATTTTGAAGTAAAAAAACAAAACGGGAACAAATACAGTATTTGTATTTGCATGTGGCCCGCGGGCCGTAGTTTGAGGACCCCTGGTCTAAACAGCTGCGCGTCGCCCCTCGTGTGGTGACATCTACCCACCAGCCCGCCCTGGGCCAGCCTTTCCGCTGTGAGAGTTTAACACGGCTGAAGACGTTTAGTACTGACTGTGGTTCTGTGGTGCCGAACCCCAGTCATCAAGAATGAAAGATGGTTTTCATGGAGAGAATGTACTCATCTAAGACCCTGATTCCCTTTTAAACTTTAGCCATTTTTGATGGAAACCTTTTAAATCTATTACAAACTTTTACGCAGTTTAACCTGTATTTGTCTTAAAGGAATGTCTTTGTTATTGTGCTGAATTCACATTTTCTGTGGTTTTCAGTGTTTCTTTGTCTTCCCTGAATGTTCGTTTGCACTCATCAGTCTTACGTGCCCAGGTCAGCCTGCTTGTGGGAAGGTCTTGTCCGCTTTTTCAGGGCCTGGCTGACCCGTGGGAGCTCCGCTTGATAGCAGTCCTGGTGCTCACATGGATGGTGCTTTGTTCTGTGTTCACTAAACTAAAATATTTTTAAATTGAGAAAATATTGCATCTGTGTCTTTTTTTAAAAAAATATATTTTATTGACGTTTTACAGAGAGGAAGGGAGAGAGATAGAGAGTTAGAAACATCGATGAGAGAGAAACATCGACCAGCTGCCTCCTGCACATCTCCCACTGGGGATGTGCCCGCAACCCAGGTACATGCCCTTGACCGGAATCGAACCTGGGACCTTTCAGTCCGCAGGCCAGCGCTCTATCCACTGAGCCAAACCGGTTTCGGCATCTGTGTCTTTTTTAAAAAATATGGTTTTATTGATTTTAGAAAGAGGAGGGGAGCGGGAGATGGAAACATCAATGAGAGAAATATCAACGGGCTGCCTTCTGTGCGCCCCCTACTGGTGATCAAGCCTGCAACCGGGCACGTGCCCTGACCGGGAATGTGACCTCCTGGTGCATGGGACGACGCTCAGCCACTGAGCCACGCCGACTGGCAGTGCATCTCTATCTTTAACTTTTTGTTATTTAAATCTTTATAATACACTAGAGGCCCTATGCGTGAAATTCATGCAAGGGGCTCTGCCCTCGCAGCCCCGGCTTGTCTGGAAGGTCGTTCTGCCATCTGGTCCAATTAGCATATTAGCTCTTTTACTAATATAATGCCTAGTTATGACTTTTCTTAATATTTTCTCTTGAATCAGATGTCCTGCCTTACTCCGTACGGGTCCTGTTGGAGGCTGCGGTGAGGAACTGTGATGGCTTTTTGCTGAAAAGGGAAGACGTCCTGAACATCCTGGACTGGAGAGCCAAGCAGAGCAATGTGGAAGTGCCCTTCTTCCCCGCCCGCGTCCTCCTCCAGGACTTCACGTGAGCGACAGCCTTCCTCACGAGCGCGTTTTCAGGGTTTCCTTTATAAGAGTCCCTGACTTGGATTTTGAATATTAGTTTATAAGTTTTTAAAAATTGCCCTTTCTAGCCCTAGCTGGTTTGGCTCAGTGGATAGCGTTATTTTTTTAAAAATTGCCCTTTCTAAACTGAAGCAACTCTTTAAAAATTAGGTGCTTGTTTCTTGTTTTCTTTATTTCACAACTACTCTTGTTTAGCTGCGTACTTGTCGTCTCCACCAGCTCAGGCTTTTCAGACTTCAGGTCACACGTGATGGCCTGCCCCTCCCTTCCTTCCAGGCCTTGCCCATCGTAGTGACTGCAGGGTGGTCTCCCGTCTGTCCAGGCAGAATCTAGGCTTGCCCCTGCTTCCTGTTTCCTGCTTCCTCCGTATGTGATCCAGTCCGTGTAGACCCACGGTCTCTTGAATGGCCTGCCTGCCCTGGTGTCAGGGATCCGTCGCTAGAAGAGGTGCCCTTTTGATGGTGTCAGCTGAGGCGCAGGCGTGAGCAGGCAGAGAGCACACCCTCAGCCCCTCGGGGACCGGGTCTCCTACGCTGCTCTGGGCTCTGTCGTTGCTGCTGTCACGGCAGCCACTGCTGTATCTTCCCTGCAAAGTCCTGGAGAGCAGCACTCGTCTTGTAGGGCCTCGCACCCCGAAGGCCTTTGGTAGATGCTGTTGCCTGGCGGCTCGGGAGGTGCCTGTGTCTGTCGTGGGTAACGAGGACCAGCAGGCGGGCACCGGGCTGCGAGGGCCTGGGCCAGGGAGCAGGCGGGGGTCGCACGGCATCGAAGGCCGTCCCCGAAGTCCTCTTCTGTCGGAAGCTCACCTCGTGTGTTGCTTTCGGCACATCTACCTCTGAGCGCCGAAGGTCTCAGATAATCCTGTGTGAACTCATTAACCCAGGGTGCTTCCAGCTTTGGGCAACACGTCCATTGTCAAGCACGAATGCAGATGGAAAAGGGGTACTTCTTATTTTTTAATTATTTTTTTATCTTTTTAAAATACTTTTTATTGATTTCGTAGAGGAAGAGAAAGGGAGAGCGAGATAGAAACATCAATGAGGAGAGAGAATCATTGATTGGCTACTTTCTGCACGCCCCACACTGGGGATCAAGCCCGCAACCTGGGCATATGCCCTTGACCGGGATCGAACCCGGGACCCTTCAGTCCGCAGGCCGACGCTCTCTCCACTGAGCCAAAGCGGCCAGGGCAGGGGTACTTGTTAAATACAGATGAGTGAGTGCGTCCTCCTGGCGGGAGCCTGTGTGAAGGAACCGCTGGAGCTCACGTGCTCCTTCTGCTTTCAGGGGGATCCCGGCCATGGTGGACCTCGCCGCGATGCGGGAGGCGGTGAAGACGCTGGGAGGGGACCCTAAGAAAGTCCACCCCGCCTGCCCCACAGACCTCACGGTCGACCACTCTCTACAGATCGACTTCAGCAAATGGTACCGTGATGCAGAGGCCGTGACGGCAGTGTGCAGGCGGGCGTCACCCGCTGGCGTGTGGCGTAGCGGGAAGAGGGGGGAATTCATGCCCGTTTCCTACATGTAGTGTTGGCTGACACGTAACGAGAGAAGCTGGTGACAAGTTTAGTTGTGATTGTTTTTGCTGGGTCTGAATTATTATCCTGTTTGTTTCTGCTGCCACTTTTGGTGGAAATGTGCAGGGAGCCTAGAGCCTGATTTTCTGGCTACGACTGCAGCTTCATATCCACTAAAGGAAGTTTTTTCTTTTCTTTTTTTTATTTTTTTAAAAATATATTTTATTGATTTTTTACAGAGAGGAAGGGAGAGAGATAGTTAGAAACATCGATGAGAGAGAAACATCGATCAGCTGCCTCCTGCACACCTCCTACTGGGGATGTGCCCGCAACCCAGGTACATGCCCTTGACCGGAATCGAACCTGGGACCCTTCAGTCCTCAGGCCGGCGCTCTATCCACTGAGCCACACCGGTTTCGGCAAAAGGAAGTTTTTTCATTTCCTTCCAGAGGGAATAGGGAGACGTGAGCCATGACTGTCGTTAATTAGTTGGTGATTGAAAGCACTGAGCTCACTCCCTAAAGCTCTGGTTTCCTCCACTGGAAACGCTACATTCAGAAGGGCCCTTGACCATAGTCAGACGAGAGAAGACGTGGTGCTCACGCTCTCGGGCGTCCTGGGTCAGACAGACTCCTCAGCTGCGAGCTGCCCTCTGCTGGAGCGGTGGCTCGGCGGCGGCTCCGTCGGGGGTGACGGCACCTCCGTCTTGCCCAGTCGCTCCCCTGTGACAGGAGCGTGTGGACACGGCTCTACTGGGCACTTAGGTTACGTTTCCTCCGTTCGTCGCAGTGACCCGGGTCTCGCGTGCGTGCTTTTGTGACCTGACATTTGCGTGGCTGGTGTGTGTTTTGAAGAGCTAAGTGTCTGTCCCTTCTAACTGGCTTCTGTTCCCTTGTTTGGAATGACAGTGCGATACAGAACGCGCCCAACCCTGGAGGCGGGGACCTGCCGAAAGCCGCCAAGCTCTCGCCACTCAAAGCGCCGCCCAGGAGGCTGCCCTGCCGAGGCCCAGCCGCCTGCCGGGGGCCCTGCGATCCGGGGGAGCCGAGCCTGGGCCGCGGCGCCGGGAGCCCGTCCACGCAGATCGAGAACACCCCCCTGCTGTGCCCTTTCCACCTGCAGCCAGTGCCTGAGTACGTCTTCTTACTTCTCATCACTGCTGCTTGTTTCTCAGGGAACCCGTTTGCCCCTTTCTCCCCCCCCCCCCCCCCACAACACACAACCATGCTCTAGGCTCGTACTGCCTGTGCAGGAGATGCTGCCGTGTGCGTCCTGTGTCCAGCAGACCAAGGCCGTTAGGTCTGCCTCTGTTCCTCGGGAAGGGACCCTGAGGTTTCCCTGTAAATATGTTTAATTTCCTGACTCATGCAGGCAGAGAAGTTTGCTGCGTCTTAAACAGAGAGCTTTTCTTCTGGTGAACGTGTGCCATTCACACGCTCATCATTCACTCATCTTCCTTCTGTGAATTCCCCATTTATAGTTCTCGCTTTTTTTCCTACTTGGAGAGTTTTATTTTTCCTTACTCCATAATACTGTTGTCGTTATGTGTGTTATAACCTGACTGAGCCGTTCCAGAGAAGTGGTGGTCTGAATGATAGCAGGGAAAAGACTCCTATTCATAGGACTCGGTTCCGTTTCCTAGTAGGTAGTTTATCTACATTAAATTTTCTTTCTTTTAATTTCGGCCGTATTGAGTCCATGAACGTTATAGGGACCTCGTGTTCCTCCTTCCTGAGAGCTCAGTATGTTCTGTGGGTCCTTTGCCCTCAATTATGGCATCGTATGTCCTCACCCCTCGTTCCTGCTGCCTAGTGTGCTGACTGTTCAACATCTCCTCACACACAAATTCTTGAAAAGGAGGATTTATTGATTCAAACGTCACTGATTTTTTTGGGTTGTCTTTCTATAACTGGCAGAGCATGAAGTGCTAAGATGGTATATTTTTATTTCTAAAAATCCAATGTGGTGTAACATTTCCCTTCAGTTTTGAGTCTGAATTATAAAGTAGTAAGATGGGTTATATGCAGTCCCGGGCTGTGTAAAAAGGAGAATGTGTGTGTGCTGTGACGTGTCAGTGATGTGTTAACTGCAGGCTCAGGCGAGAGCCGGGGGCAGGAGTGGAAGTCCCTGCCTGACTGATAGAGGGTGGACGGCACTTGATGGCCACAGGTGCTGGGTCGTGGAGGCTCCCGAAGCTGCTCCCCGGCCTGGGAAGTCTCCCGAGACCACTCGGCAGTGAATTATTCACGTGGCCTTTGTCTTGAAAACCCTCCAGCTGAACAGCTGTAATTATCTGGGCCCTGGAGGGCATGTATCATTTACGTTGTATTGATGTTCAGTCAAACCTTAATCACCAGCTGGGCTGGCAGGAAAATGAGCAGGTCAGACCGGCTGTAACGATTTTTAAAAATCATCAGATGCAGTGAGGTCCCTGAAGGTGGGCTCCGTCCTGCTCGGAGGGAAGTGCTTTCTCTCCGAGTTAATGACTCCTGAGCGTAACTGCAGCCCCTGCAGGCAAGCTGCTACCTGCAGGCAAAATAGCCCTTCCGCTCGGACAGAGGAGTGCAGGGTTTGGGCCAAAAGCTCTTTGTAAAGTCGAAGATGGTGCTGACTGTCGGCCACTGCTCCAAGGTGACAGCGCCCTGGCCCGGGCCCGGGGTGGCATGCTCACCCTAACGGTGTGTAAGCTGCCTGCTCCTCCTTGTCATGAGGAATCCAGCAGAACTTACCCTGATTTTAATACGCTTTAGCCACGTCTCCCAGCGATGCCCGTGAAGTGCGGTCTGGGACACGTGGGCGTGGCTTTCCTGTGCCAGCACAGTCCCGATCCTGCAGTCCCTCCTGGTGTGATGTAGGGGCTGCACTGGACGGGTTGTCACGAGTCAGGAAGTGGCCGTTCCCAGAATGCTGTTCAAAGTGTCTAAGAATGGAGACCGGGAAACAAGGCAGCTCGTTCTGTAGTACACGCTCTAATGCGGCTCTTCCTCCTTTCAGACCTGAAACAGTGTTAAAAAATCAAGAAGTGGAATTCGGCAGAAATCGAGAGAGGCTTCAATTTTTCAAGGTATAAATGTTTGGGGGAACTTTTTTAATTGCAATTTGTGAAATATTGGCAGGTACGGTTTTTATGTCTTGAGACCAATAGTTCTTGAACTTCTAGCAGTGGGCTGGGTGGGCTCCCTCTCCCCCCTGAGTCCTGGGGGCACAGCTGGAAGCGACCATTTATCTGGGCTCTGGAATGTTTTTCTTTGACTTCATTGTGCTTCAATAGTCTGCCGAATGGGTATGTTTAGGTTTAGTCTGTAGACGTGGGCCCTGGGGGCCATTGGTAAGATGTTTTTAGTGTCAGTATTTGTATTGTGATGGCGAGCGCACATTCGTACGATGCACTGACACTGCGTTTCTTTACCCACAACCCAGTGGTGTTCGAGAGTGTTCCGGAACGTGGCTCTGATCCCGCCCGGCACGGGCATGGCCCACCAAGTGAGCCTGGAGTCCTTGTCCCGGGTGGTCTTCGAGGAGGGGGCCCTCCTCTTCCCCGACAGCGTGGTGGGCACGGACTCCCACATCACCATGGTGAACGGCCTGGGCATCCTGGGCTGGGGTGAGTGCACAGCCTGCGTCCTGTTCTCTCGGGCGGGGGCGTCGGGCATGAAAGGGCACCAGCAGCAGGTCGCTGTGGCCTGGAGACCGTTCTCTATCCTGGCAGCAGGTCAGGAGGGCCTGATCCGGTATGTGGGTCAGTGTGTGGTCAGAGAGGATTGATGAAACTGGCACAGTGCCCAGTGGGTGGTCAGCGTGGCCATGACCGCCTCTGTGAAGATGAGGTGGTCACTCTCGGGTAAAGAGCTTCCGTGGCTCCCCTGCCTCTTCATACACCCAGGCTCCTTTGCAGCTACACCAGGCCCTGCACAGCCTGGTGCTCCGGCCGAGCGCACTTCCTCTCTCACAGCCTGTGATGACCACCAACTTCCTTTTTTTTTTTTTGTCTGTGCCCTTAGGCCAGGCTGCTTGAGCCTGACCTGGGCTGGGCTCTGTTGGTATCGGATCTTGAGCATAGCACCCTGCGTAGCCTAACAGGGACTCTGTTTACTGAGCTTAGCATGAAGGTAAAATCGGGTTTGCAGCATGTGAGCGAGAAGACTCGGGTTCCGAACCCACGTGGTCGCAGGGAAGCTGCTGAGGAGCTCGGGAAACGCCCCGTGTCGAGGGGAAGCGTGTGTGTCCCCTGCATCCTGTGCTCAGACGTGCGTCTCGCTGCAGGGGTCGGAGGCATCGAGACGGAAGCCGTGATGCTGGGGCTGCCCGTGTCCCTCACGCTGCCCGAGGTGGTGGGGTGTGAGCTGACCGGCTCCTCCAACCCTTTCGTCACGTCCATAGACGTTGTTCTTGGCATCACAAAGGTACGTGCAGGTGCTGGCGGAACTCCTTCGTCCTGGACGTCCGGGCGTGTGCGTCGCTGCTCACTGACCTGTCCACTCGTCCTTCTTACGAGCCGGGGAGGGTGGTGCTGTCACTGGGCCATTTCCCACCTTCACTCTGAGAGCGGCACCGTGAGGCTGGCTGACCAGGACGTGGGCCCGCACTCCCTCCCCGCACGGGGCCTGGAGCCTCCGCCTTCGGCCTCAGCAGCAGCTGGGGGCTCCGTGGTGTTGGGGAAAGTCTAGTCTCCTTAACACGTCACTGAGTCACCCGCCCCTTAGGAACCGTTGCTCTCACAGCGGTTCTCAACCTTCTGGCCCTTTAAATACAGTTCCTCATGTGGGGACCCAACCATACAATTATTTTCATGGCTACTTCATCACTGTCATGTTGCTACTGTGATGAATCATAATGTAAATATCTGATATGCAGGATGGTCTTAGCCGACCCCTGTGAAAGGGTCGTTTGACCGCCAAAGGGTCGCGACCCCACAAGTTTGAGAACCGCTGCCTAGGAGATCTTTTCGAAACAGCGACTGGGACTGTGTGCCGCCAGCCTCCTCTTCTTTTTATATGTGTGTCTATTGATCTCAGAGAGAGAGGGAGAGAGAGAGAGAGAGGGGGACATCCATGAGGAGAGAGAATCATGGGTCGGCTGCCTCCTGCACGCCCCCTACCGGGGATCAAGCCCGCAACCCGGGAACGTGCCCTTGACCGGAATCGAACCCGGGACCCCTCAGTCCACAGGCTGACGCTCTATCCACGGCCAGGGCGCGTCAGGCTTTTCTGTGGGCCGTTCCAGCGTTGCTTCTCAGCCTGCGCGTGGGTTCCGTACAAGTGCTCCAGGGTCTCCGGTGAGCCGCTGTCTCGCCCCCTCGGAGTCCTGTGCTCTCTGACTGGGTTTTGTTGTGTTATTTTGACACTGAGTCCATAGGACGGCTGCGTCAGAGGAGAGCACTGCGGCAGGGTGGGCTTTGTTGCTGCACAAGCTCGGACTGTCAGACAGCTGTGCTCATCTGCTGACTCGTTTCCGCGATTAAGGCGCGTGCACCTGGGGCTCCCTGTGCTCCCCGCGGGCCAGGCCCCAGCGCTTCGGCCGTCGGTTGTAGGGGGAAGGCCTTCAGGACACTCCGCAGGGGGAGAGACGGTGCTGCCTCCCTCCCGGCATGCAGTATTGATCTTCCCTGATTTGGAAAGCATTTGACAGCTTACAGAAATGATTGATCTGGTGTGTGGACCACAGATCCAGAAGCTAAATTGAGAATTACAGCCTATTCCTCGAGGAAAAGGAGCATCCCATTATGTTTCTGTAGAAATCGATTCTTCCCTGCGGACACCCTGAAAATTAACGGGGCCTCTCGGAACCTCTGGCTGCATCCTAATAGCATCCTGAGCCTGGTTTGGCATTTTGACTCACGGATACAGAAGTTTATTGTGGAAGACGGCATTTGGTGGAGGTCCTGTTCTGTTCATGGTCTTTGCAGGATTAATCCTGTGTTCTTCAGTGTTCAGTGTTCACGTGGCGCCTCATTCGTTTGGCGGAAGCAGCAGCTGGGTGTATTTCATCTGTCTTCCCCTAAATAACCATGAATCGAAGGAGACGTCTTCTTAGGCTGGAGTTTGTACATCTGTGAACTGACCCCCAGCCCTCCACCCGCTGGGACTACAGTCTCCATGGGTCGGAGGTGGTCTCGCTCTGGCCCCCCGGCTCTCCCTGCACCAGCTGAGCCCCTTGTGCAGTGAGGAAGGGTGAGCAGCCGTTTCGGTTGCTTGGGAGTAACTAAGAGAAAGGCTGGTAGAAGGAACTAAGCTTGAAGCCACCTGCTAAACCCTATCAAAATGGAACTCACCTATAACGAATATCGCTGTGAATGTTTGGACAGGAGGTGGAATTTGAAGAGTATGTAACTGTCTGTTCATATACACAGTTCGATCAATGTTCGTCTTTCATTAAACCCCAGATGCCCTCGATGGCTAGAAGCGCGGTTGTTTTATGTCCTGCTCAGCAAGGAAGAGACGCGCACACAGGAGTCCATGCTGGCCCCAGTCTCAGAACGGGAACGTGGGTTCCCAGCCATGAGCATCACGCCCTTTCCCACCCCGACTGACAGCGACGCCGACCTCTCTCCTGACGGACTGTTTGTCTCTCAGTGCCTGCTGCACCCCAGCGAGCGCGCGTCCTAAACAGCAAAGTCCTCTGCTCCCTGTCCCTGGCGTCGGGTGGCGATCAGAGGGCAGGGTTCTCGGAGAGTCCGTGCCCGTCTCGTTGCTAACTGCGTCTGTGTCCCTCCATCCAGCACCTCAGGCAAGCAGGAGTGGCCGGCAAGTTCGTGGAGTTTTTTGGAAGCGGAGTCTCACAGTTATCAATAGTGGATCGGACGACAATAGCAAACATGTGTCCAGAATATGGTGCTACCCTCAGCTTCTTCCCTGTTGACAATGTGACCTTAAAACACTTAGAACATACAGGTAAGAAGACAGGTCCTGCGGATAAACATGCCGCCTTCCCGTGTGTCTGTCTGGTGTGTTTTTAATGTTCATGGCATTACGTTATTTTGAGACAATGGCTTCCACATAAACCATCAGATGACTTTAGTGTTGGGCCTCAAACCCTGGTCTCCACTGACCCATCGACACGCAGCTTAAAGAAAGAAGCAGAGCACAGGTCTGCACGCCCCGTCCCCCGTCCCCCCCCTTTCCCCGTCCCCTCGGTGAGGTGCCCGCCCTGCTCAGTGCTCCTGGTCCTGCTGTGATCGATCACCTTGAGGGGCTGCTGTCGAGCTGACAGAGCTGACCAGAAAGGCTCTTGAATGCTCTCAAGTGCTAATTCGCAAAGACCTCGGTTCTGAGTGCTTAGTAATTTGCAATATTTGTTTCTTGCTCATCGTTGGAATTCAACACACTTACCCAGAAGGTTTCAGAATTCCTCACTGGGTTTCTGTTGTTTATCTTTCAGGTTTTGACAAAGCCAAACTCAAGTCAATGGAGACCTACCTGAAAGCTGTGAAGTTGTTCCGGAGTGACCAGGGTGATGCGGGGGAGCCGGAGTACTCGCAGGTGCGTGCGGTCACCCCCGGGGCCGGGTCTGCGCGGCCTGGACAAAGCAGGTAGCCTTCCTGCCTCAGTGGTTCTACCACACCGGGTTCTTGAGAGATGAATACACATTCGTCAGGACCGTCTCAGGTGCCTAGTGAGTGCTCAGTGCTGACAGCTGTTGTCATCATCATTGTTATTGACAGATGTTCTCGGTGACCCTGCTCGGACCTCACTCTTAGTTTTACATAGAGTTTTACTTCAGTGAAGCTGAGGAGGAAGGAAGGTTCACTCAGCCCGCCTCACCCGCACACACAGGCAGAGAGGGCGGGTCCGAGCCCAGAGGCAGGGAGTGCACAGCTGGCCCAGGCGCCTGTAGGGACAGCGTTCCTGTGGGCGGGAGGACGGGGGATAAAAGTTCACGTAGAGTGTACAGTGTTGGTGCGGTCGTAAGTTAAATGGGGTTTTTAAATATCTTTGGTGGGTGTTTTTCCCCATGACAACAAGTTGTGTTAAAAAAACAAAAATGTACTTACTCTTTCCTAGAAAGTAGTGCTTGAGTTGGAATCCGTCCCTACGAGCCCTCATCCCCCCTTCCCTTCTCTCCTGCCCCAGGTGATCCGGATCAACCTGAGCTCCATAGTGGCAACTGTCAGTGGTCCCAAGAGGCCGCAGGACAGAGTGGCTGTGACGGAGATGAAGAGTGACTTCCGCGCGTGCCTGAGCGAGAAGGTGGGCCTCGCCGTGTGTGTGGGCGCAGGGGCCAGCGGGCGGGTCTCAGGCCGTCCACACGGGGGTCCTTAAGTTCTCAGTTAAAATGTTGGTGTCTTGGTCACAACACCCGATTTCACGTGGGGAGCACTGCGTGTTCCCACTGTCACAGACGTTTCTATGCGATTTGTAGACTCTGACTTGTGACTTCCCAGACACCAAGGGAGACACCACCTGTCTGAGCCTCCTGGCTTCCCGTCCTGTTCTGAAGGCTGGTCCCTCGCTTCCTTTCCAAACTTAAATCTTTATAATTTGTTGATTTTCTGGTGGGAAATGTCAGGCTTGTACAGGAGTAAAACTGTCGTGAATTCCCATGGGCCTTGCTCCAGCAGTCGCCAGCTCTAGCAGATTCTGCATTCACGCACGCACGCACATTCACACACACACTCACACATGCACACACTTGCGCGCGCGCGCACACACACAGTCATTGGGAGCAAATCCTCGGGGCCATTTTAACAAAAGCTGGTCCCGCCTCCTGAGCTCTGCTGTGAGCAGGGACGGTTGAGAACCAGAGCCGAGGGAGAGCCGGCCCCGGCGAGGCTGAGCTCGCAGCAGAGAGAACTGTGGACAGTGACGCCTCCTGGCGGCACGCGCAGGGTCCAGCTGAGTCACGGCTGCTGCCCGTCCGGCCGTCAGCACCTTCCTTCCACCGGCCGATGCTCTATCCACTGAGCCACCCTGGCTAGGGCCGTGTTTTCTCTGCGTGTCCAGAATACACAGTTCACGTTTGTGTGGGACTCTCTCCAGGTTGGATGCAGAGGCTTCCAGATTGCGGCCGAGAAGCAGAGCGACGCCGTCTCCCTTCACTACGAAGGAAGCGACTACCGCTTGTCGCACGGGGCCGTGGTCGTCGCCGCCGTCACCAGCTGCACCAACAACTGCAACCCGTCCGTCATGCTCGCGGCCGGTAGGTGGCGGTTCCAGGCCGTCGTCGCCTTTTCCTCAGTCACTCTGTCCCTCAGATGGGGTAAGGGTTGTGTCGAACAGGTGGACGGTGAGGGCGTTCTGAGGTTTTAGGTAGGTCTTTACGGCCTAAGGTTGACTTATGTCATCCGTGTTCTTTTTATGACACAGGAGGTACATTTTTTTATAACACATATTTATTAGTTTAGGTCGTATCTGCCTCTGTTAACCCAGGAGGACTGTGACTAGCAGGTCTGGTGTCTGGGAGTGGCCATGGCTGTGCGGGTCCGCTGAGCGTACGAGAGGCGACACTGGCCGGGCTGCCACGCCATCAGTGTGTGTACGTGACACATGGTTCCTGTGGGAGCTCGTGTCACGTTGCTAAGTGGCTTAGCTTATGGTGATGGTGGCGACTGAAACAGCTCAGTCTGTCGTGTGTGAGGCTGTGCCCTCGGGCTGCGCCTCCGCTCAGTGCAGAGGTGCTGTGCCGACTGCAGCGTTGGTTTCAAATGAACCGAATCAGTGGAAAAAATGATAAAATAAACGTATGAATGTGGACCTTCACCCACCTGTGAACTGGAGACCCAGCTGGTGAAGGGGCCTGTCTTGTCCACTTTCCTGTGGGGCCGCCAGCGCCACGTCACCCTGGTTTGTCCTGGGCAGGTCTCCTGGCGAAGAAGGCGGTGGAGGCGGGTCTGCGGGTACAGCCGTACATCCGCACCAGCCTGGCGCCCGGCAGCGGGATGGTCACGCATTACCTCAGCTCCAGCGGCGTGCTGCCCTACCTGCGCACGCTCGGGTAAGCCACGTCCTCTCGGCCGCTCGACGGCTCAGCAGAGCCGGAGCTGCGCGCCGGGACCTGTCCTGTGCGAGGAGAGAGGAGAAGTAGGCTCAGTCCTCGCAGTCCCCTGGCCATGGCCACGCGCCACCTGAGGCCTCACCTCAGCAGCACGGGGGCAGAGTCGCGTCAGGCAGGTGCTGGCGAGAGGAGATGTGACGGGAAGACGAGCAGGTCAGACCAGGTGACAGTGACAGGCAGGGACGGTGCCAGCCAGTGCGTGCCCTCCCGCGCCCGAAGGGCAGTTCTCAGAAAGGAATGCAGTTCTGCAGGTTGCCTTATGAACTGAGTAAGTTGCTGCTTTTTTTAAAGTATTTTTATTGATTTCAGAGAGGAAGGGAGAGGGATAGAAAGGAATATCAGTGATGAGGGGGATTATTGATCGCTGCCTCCTGCACGCCCCCCATTGGGGATGAAGCCCACAACCCAGGTGTGTGCCCTGACTGGGAATGGAACCATGACCTCTTGGTTCCTGAGTCGATGCTCAACCACTGAGCCACGCCAGCCAGGCTCAATCATATTATCTTACATAAATCGTCAATTCCTTGCAGGCCGGATACATTTTATGTTTTTGTGGGATGGTGTTTTTTTTTTTTAATTTAGAAGAGCATCTGAAAATAACTTTGTGGATTTTATGTATAAGTTTTTAGTTATATCATCTTGATATTTTTGTCAGGGACTCTTCTTGGCTTAATTGGTCGAGAGGGGAAGGTCCCAGCCACAGGCCTCTCGGTCCTTCCGTCAGATGATAGCCAGGCCCTCTGATACTTCACGGTGTGAACGGTGTGAACCCTTTGGAAGGAAGTACAGGACGGTTTTGAATCGTTGTATTCCCAGCAGGAGTCTGAGGGCTTGCTTGTGCAGTGTCAGAGGCAGTTCATCTCATCCCCCTGGGGCAGCCTCAGCCCCGGCTCCTCTGGGTGTGCCCCTCCGGGTGTGCCCTCTGGGTGTGCCCCTCCGGGTGTGCTCCTC